TCTCCTCCTCCTCCTCCTCCTCCACGCCCATGTACATAACCTCTGTCAGCCATCACTGCCTCACTGTTAACACAGAGATTTGACCTAGGGGTCCATTAAACATGGGCAAAAGGAGTGGATCCACCAACCTTCTGAAATTGTCTGAAGCGGTGCGGGTGCACTTTAAAAAAGCACAACAAAACACTCCTTGCTACTTTCAAAATTCAGGAGCCCTGTGGGAATAAGAATGGCTGTGCTGGTGTGATGTATACACAGGCAGACCAGCCAGCTGGGAGAATCAGGAAAGCGCATGGAGGGAATGGCCGCTGCCTTGTCTTCAATGTTTGTAGTACAGAATGACAGAGAAAGGGTCGATCGATTGAGCAATCATCCTTGGGGTCTACCTTAGCGCTGAAATAATCTATGAGAGTTGGGTGGTGGTATTTGGAGGTTGAGAGAAAACAGACACATGGGGTCATATTGAAGCAGGGGATGAATATGAATTTGAATTTTGCTTTCATGGAAGAGCCTCAACCCCAAGTACCTACTACTCCTCTAAAGCCTTCAAATGTTTAAAATCAAGTGCTTCCCTTCCCTTCCCGCCCCTCCCCCCCATATCTGGTAGAGAATTGGCTGAGGACATTTTGTTAAAACCAAATCTTATTTAAAAGTGTACCCAAATAAGCAAACCGTTTAGATGGGAGGCAGCCTTGTTGGAATCTTTTGTTGCAACTGAATCTTATTAGAAGGTTAAACACATGGAAAGGGGGGAGTGGTAGATTTGGACATGGTGACAGGAAATCGGGAGCCTTACCTCCCTTTGCTCATAGCTGCCCTAGAAATACTCTCTATTTGTGTGTGGGGGAGAGAGGTTCGGGGGAGCGGGTAGGGACCACCTCTGAAGGCCACAAGCCAGACCAAGCCCAAGTGCACAGCAAACCCCGAGGCTTTATAATGGCTGTCATTGTGCGCACAGACTCTGTCACCTCAACAAACCCCCCCAAAAACCTCTTCTACCCTTCTGAGTGGAGAGCTAAACATTTTCTCTTGCTTCAAAGTCACTCTCTGATACCATTTTAAACATATTATTTAATGCTCCAAGTTTCAGTAGTTTCATGTCCAAGATGATATTGAATATAATTTATCTGAATAAAAACATTTTAAATGTTAATACATTTGATAAAAATCTTTGCAAAAGGGAGCATGAGAAATAATAGTTGCTACAGATCCAAAAGGAATGGGTTTATTCTGTATGTGTATATACCTGTATGTATGTGTATATATGTGTGTAAATGTATATTCTTCATATGTACATATGAAGACTATCCACACATATCTATCTTAAGTCTTGTATTGAAGGTAGATGCTGAGATGCTAAAGCAAGAGGATAGAACATAGATCAATGCCACACAATGGGCACTGGCGGCTTGTATCTGAAACCCTAGCTACTTGTGGAGGCAGAGATCAGAACCGTAGGTTGAGGCCAGTGTGGATATAAACCAGAGTCAATCAATAGTTGATTGAATGGCATGCACTTGCTATCCTAGTTATATGCAAAGTAGAAATAGGCACTATGATTATTAACTGACTTTCTGTGGCCATTCTGGTTTTGTGAATAGACACACATTTCTTTCCTTCTTGTTTCAGGCAAGCTGCCTAAAAGTCATCTGGACTCTGAGATTGCAGAGCGTGGTTCTGGGAGCTGCTCAACTCCTCTGGTTCAGTGCCTTGATCTCTGGTAAGCTTAAGGCTAACTCTTCACTTGACTCTGAATACAGAACGCAGAGCCAGACAGACAAAGTGAAGGGCTGAGCCAATGTGAGGCATGGAAATCTAGGAATATCCCAAAGCCCAGATTTCTAGAAGTAAAATGAACCCATCATCATCACACTGTTAGACAAGGCTTCAGAAACAACAAACTGCTAAATCCAGGCTGAAATTATCCATTAGACAAGGAAAGCACAGCCCAGGATACTTCTAAGGACCCAACAGAGGGTTGGAATTTCCTTAATTTAAAATAATTCACTTTATATTGCCTTGGGTCCCTGAAAACCATAATGGGGTCCTGGCGATACCAAAATGAGATCTGGCTCCAACCCAGAGCCTGGCACACTCGGCTCTTCCCACCCGTGCCTGGGGCGCCACCATCCAGTCTGGCTTTTTGTTGCCCAATTGGAGATGGGTTCTTGTAGATTTCTCTGCCCAGGCTGGCTTCATACCATGATCTTTCAGGTCTCAGCCTCCTGTGTAGCAAAGATTGCTGGCATTAACCATCTGCTTTTTGAAGCCAGGTACTTCAAAATGTGGCATTTTTGTTAGTTTCTGTTTGGGGAGAGACGCAGCTTCTCACTCATAGCAGGTGGGCTTGGCCCTCTGGCCCTCCTGCCTCAGCCCCGAGTGTACAAGCGTACACGATTACAGGCCCAACTCCAGAATAAAATCTTAAGGCAAAACAACAGCACAGAGGTATCCGTGAGGAAGGTAGGATGCATGACCCGCAGTCAGGAGAGGTGACGGCTGAATAGAAACAAGCTTTATAAACAGGAAGTGGAGCCATTTCCAGGCCTGACTGCTTGCAATTGTACAATTCTTCACATGGGAACTGGCCTCTTCTGCCCAGTGAGCTCCTACAGGCCACAATAACAATGCACGGAGTCATAGTGCGTTTCTACCCTTGAACGTCACATTCTTTATTTTATTTGATATCACAAACACTTGCTAAAAAAAAAAGAGAACAGCAAGGGAAGTCTATTTGAACAAGTGAGTAAGCAGCTGTGGAGGAAGTAGAGCAGTTCATCACAAAGAAGTGGAATGGGTGTCGGTCATCAATGAGATCGTTCAGCTGAGGACCTGCCAAACCCCTACGGTGCTGCGCTCGTTCAACACAGATTTCTTGGTTGCACATTAAAGGCAAAGTCTTGTATGTAGTGTTAAGGACCCAGAACTAAGAAGAGATCACCATGAGGAATTTATAATCCACTAGGCACGGAGCACATCACAGAGCAAGACTCCACAGTAAACGGTAATGAGGCAATGGAGACAGGGGATGGGCAGACAGAGGGAGCCAAGAGGAAGAAACGCAGGCCATCTGTGGAAATCGAGGAAGTAGGAGGAGTCAAATTTATACTGGCCTATGAAGGGATAGACAGATAGACAGATAGACAGGGGAGAGACCAGATAGACAGACAGACAGGGGAGAGACCAGATAACAGTAGACAGACAGGGGAGAGACCACCTGCAGATTCAGGGAAGTAATTACACGTGGTCTTCTTGCGTGACTGCAGTCCCAGCACTGCGAAGGCTGAGACTGGAGAATTTCAAATTTTAGACCAACCTGGCTTACATAGTAAGACCCTGCCTCAAACCAAACCAACCAAGGTAAATAGACCAACCAAACCAATTATTTAAAAAAAAAAGACAAGGAATTTGAGTTGTGTAAGGCTAACAAAGTAAATATGGCAGAACACAGAGTTCAGATCCCTATCATGTGACGTGATAAAACCTCAACCGTACCTCGAACTGGGGCTCAGACAGGTGACCTTGTGTCATTAATGCTGGATGATGAAGGGGAAGAGCTTCTCAGTCCTTTCTACCTCCAGCAGCTTAGGATTCCAAGTCTTTAGCATCAAGAACCTTCAGCAGACACCTTCCTCTTCTGGCTTTATATATACTTTGAAATGAAATATGGAAACTACTCTTCTCTTTACATTAACTACTTAGATCTACAGTCGCTATGTGCTTTGCATTTATGCCCTGGTCAGAAATTCACCTGGCTACACCCAGACATGCAAATGTAAGCTTATAGCGTTCTCCTGGCTAGGGATGCTAGCTTGGCACTCATTACTCATTTTTTTTTCTCTTTAGAGCTCACAAATCAGAAAGAAGTGGCTGCATGGACGTACAACTACAGTGTGAAAGCCTACTCGTGGAATTACTCGCGGGCATTCTGCCAGAGGCACTTCACAGACTTAGTGGCCATCCAGAATAAGAATGAAATTGCCTACCTCAACGACTTCGTGCCCTTCTTCAGCTCGTACTACTGGATCGGGATTCGAAAGATTAACAATAAGTGGACTTGGGTGGGCACCAGAAAGACGCTCACAAAGGAGGCCGAGAACTGGGCTGACAACGAGCCCAACAACAAGAGGAACAACCAGGACTGTGTGGAGATGTACATCAAGAGCGAGCTGGCGCCGGGGAGGTGGAATGATGAGCCCTGCTGGCGGAGAAAGAGAGCCCTGTGCTACACAGGTAGGCCTGCCCTGCCTGCCCTGCCTGCCCTGCCCTGCCCTGCCTGCCCTGCCTGCCCTGCCCTGCCTGCCCTGCCCTGCCTGCCC